ACGTAAATGATATGTTTACAGGAGTGGAATCATACATGTCGATGTTTGCAGATGACGCAAAATTAATGAGAAGAGTTGTGACAGACGAGGATTGTAGGATCCTCCAAGAGGACTTAAACAGGCTGCAGAGATGGTCAGAGAAATGGCTACTGGAGTTTAACACCAGTAAATGTAAAGTTATGGAAATGGGATCAGGTGACAGGAGACCAAAGGGACAGTACACAATGAAGGGGAACAGCCTACCTGTAACGATTCGAGAAAGAGACCTGGGAGTGGATGTGACACCTAATCTAACTCCTGAGGCACATATAAATAGGATAACGACAGCAGCGTACTCTACACTGGCGAAAATTAGAACTTCATTCAGAAACCTAAATGAGGAAGCTTTTAGGGCGCTTTACACTGCCTACGTGAGACCCGTCTTAGAGTATGCCGCGCCATCATGGAGCCCCCACCTGAAGAAACACATAAAGAAACTGGAGAAGGTTCAGAGGTTTGCGACGAGGCTTGTCCCAGAGCTACGAGGGATGGGATATGAAGAGCGGCTGAAGGAACTGAACCTTACGACACTAGAGAAAAGAAGGGAGAGAGGAGATATGATAGGGACATATAAAATACTCAGGGGAATTGACAAAGTGGAAATAGATCAAATGTTCACACGTAATAATAACAGAACGAGGGGACATGGGTGGAAACTGGAAACTCAGATGAGTCACAGAGATGTTAGGAAGTTTTCTTTTAGCGTGAGAGTAGTAGAAAAATGGAATGCACTTGGGGAACAGGTTGTGGAAGCAAATACTATTCATACTTTTAAAACTAGGTATGATAGGGAAATGGGACAGGAGTCATTGCTGTAAACAACCGATAGCTAGAAAGGCGGGATCCAAGAGTCAATGCTCGATCCTGCAAGCACATATAGGTGAGTACATATAGGTGAGTACACACACACACACACACACACATTACCTAAGAGCCAGAGCTCAACCCCCGCAAACACAACTCGGTAAGTACACACACACACACACACATTTGAAAGTTGAGAGGCGGGACCAAAGAGCCAGAGCTCAACCCCCGCAAGCACAACTAGGTGAGTACAACTAGGTGAGTACACACACACTCACACACACACACACACACACACACACACACACACACACACACACACACACACACACACACACACACACACACACACCTCGTAGGCCTGGTGGATAGCGCGCAGGACTCGTAATTCTGTGGCGCGGGTTCGATTCCCGCACGAGGCAGAAACAAATGGGCAAAGTTTCTTTCACCCTAAGTGCCCCTGTTACCTAGCAGTAAATAGGTACCTGGGAGTTAGTCAGCTGTCACGGGCTGCTTCTTGGGGGGTGTGTGTGTGTGTGGTGTGGAAAAAAAAAGTAGTTAGTAAACAGTTGATTGACAGTTGAGAGGCGGGCCGAAAGAGCAAAGCTCAACCCCCGCAAAAAAACACAACTAGTAAACACACACACACACACACACACACACACACACACACACACACACACACACACACACACACACACACACACACACACACACACATCTTGCCTTACATGCTTGATAGAATTCTACGATCAGGTGACAAAGATTAAGCAAGAAAGAGAAGGATGGGCGGACTGCATTTTTTTGGACTGTCGGAAAGCCTTTGACACAGTACCCCATAAAAGGTTGATGCATAAGCTGGAGAAACAGGCAGGAGTAACTGGTAGGGCGCTCCAGTGGATAAGGGAGTACCTAAGCAATAGGAAGCAGAGAGTTACAGTGAGGGGAGAGACCTCAGAATGGCGTGAAGTCACCAGTGGAGTCCCACAGGGCTCTGTGCTTGGACCTATCCTGTTTCTGATAAACGTAAATGATCTCCCAGAGGGTATAGACTCATTCCTCTCAATGTTTGCTGACGACGCCAAAATTATGAGAAGGATTAAGACAGAGGAGGACAGTTTGAGGCTTCAAGAAGACCTGGACAACTGCAGGAATGGTCGAACAAATGGCTGTTAGAGTTTAACCCAAGCAAATGTAATGTAATGAAGATAGTGGTAGGAAGTAGGAGACCAGATACAAAGTATCACTTGGGAGATGATATACTTCAAGAGTCAGAGAGAGAGAGAAAGACCTGGGGGTTGATATCACGCCAGACCTGTCCCCTGAAGCTCATATCAAGAGGATAACATCAGCGGCATATGCCAGGTTGGCTAACATAAGAACGGCCTTTAGTAACTTGTGTAAGGAATCTTTCAGAACATTATATACCACATATGTCAGACCAATCCAGATGCGGCTCCAGCATGGAGTCCATATCTAGTCAAGCATAAGACTAAACTGGAAAAGGTTCAAAGGTTTGCCATCAGACTAGTACCCGAGCTGAGAGGTATGAGCTACGAGGAGAGACTACGGGAATTGAACCTCACTTCGTTGGAAGACAGAAGAGTTAGGGGGGACATGATCACCACATTCAAGATTCTCAAGGGAATCGATTGGGTTGATAAAGACAGGCTATTTAACACAAGGGGCACACGCACTAGGGGACACAGGTGGAAACTGAGTGCCCAAAGGAGCCACAGAGATATTAGAAAGAACTTTTTTAGAGTCTGAATGGTTGACAAATGGAATGCATTAGGAAGTGATGTGGTGGAGGCTGACTCCATACACAGTTTCAAGTGTAGATATGATAGAGCCCAATAGGCTCAGGAACCTGTACACCTGTTGATTGACGGTTGAGTGGCGGGACCAAAGAGCCAGAGCTCAACCCCCGCAAACACAACTAGGTGAGTACACACTACCAAAGAGCCAGAGCTCAACCCTCGCAAAAACATCTAGGTAAGTACACACACACACACACACACACACACACACACACACACACACACACACACACACACACACACACACACACACACACACACATACATACATAAGTGGGCCAGTGGCGGAGCGGACAGCACGCTGGACCCGTGATCTTGTGGTCCCGGGTTCGTTCCCAGGCGCCGGCGATAAACAATAGGCAGAGTTTGTTTCACCCTATGCCCCTGTTACCTAGCAGTAAATAGGTACCTGGGAGTTAGTCAGTTGTCACGGGTTGCTTCCTGGTGTGTGTGTGTGTTTGTGGTGTGGAAAAAAATAGTATTAGCAGTAGTTAGAAACAGTTGATTGACAGTTGAGAGGCGGGCCGAAAGAGCAGAGCTCAACACCCGCAAGCACAACTAGGTGAATACACAAACACACAGAAGAGCAGCCCCCAAACACACACACACATTTAGATGTCATAACTTCCACATCTACATAACTTCATTATTAGTTTAAACATTGGATGCAAGAGGAACTGGAGTTGTCTCTTTGAACCACCGACAGATAGAGCGTCGGGCACAGGGACTCAAATTCTGCCATGCAAACTCAGCTAAGTACACATACATCAAAATGAGTTACTGTATGAATAACTCAAATTATTGGTTTTAAAATGAATAATTGTTTTTAAACATTTGTATTTATCTATTTAAAAATACCATATGTGAAACTGGGCTCAACGCCCTGCAGGACAACAGGGCGCATTTCAAGAATATAAAACATTCTTGGTTTGTGTTTTATACCTCGTCCAGAAATCTAGTTGCACAGATATACTTAATTAAGTATACCCTTCAGGACCTCGGATAATACTATCCCCGCGTCACGGCGGGTGTCACTCCCTGCTCCAGTGTGGTGGGAGGTGCAGTGATCACTGGGTAACGCCAAGCGCGGGTACCTCTCCCGCCACATCCGTGCACACCCTCTGCCTCAACACCACAACAGCTCTAGAGAGGAAAGTTTCGCCGTCGCAACCTTCCAGCCGACGGCGAAAATTCCACTGGCTCTTCCGGATATTCTGAAGATCTCGCAGAAGCTACCAAGACACATGTTAGGGTAAAAGAACATACTTAGCAGGGAATTAAGCTGCTGTGCTGCTGACGTTTGTTGTCAATGATGATGTGTATTGAAGTTTTAAAGCAGCAAAATGCGAGACTTGTTCAACAAACAGTTTTTATTTAATTAAAGCACAGTACAGTGATACTTGATGACACAGTGCCACTCCTCAGAGCCACCATCAAGTTGTACTTGCAGAAAGAAAACATTCCTTAATACGACCTTTGATATTTATGCAATAAAAGACACATTGATCAAACCTATCACGCCAAAGACACATCATATCGACATAGCAGTTCATCGATGAATTGTGCAACGATAACAGTTTGCGTTCAGTAAAAATAAATAGTTGTTTATTCAAGCTCTGATGTTCAAATATGCACTTACTCACACGCAACTTCATGTGTATATGCACACAAGGACACAAACACAGGCTCTTATTCACAGCTCAAAGCGTTATGACAAAGAGTGCTAGGAAGACGGGACACCACAAGCGTAGCTCTTATCCTGTAACTATACTTAGGTAATAACACTTAGGTAATTACAACGATGCCTCCGTTCAACCACCCACGCGCACAAACACTCACTCACTCATGTCTTTGTTCATTCTACCCCCTCCCCTCTCCCCTCCTCTCATTCCTCCCCTCCCCTCCCCTCTCCCCTCCTCTCATTCCTCCCCTCCCCTCTCCCCTCCTCTCATTCCTCCCCTCCCCTCTCCCCTCCTCTCATTCCTCCTCTCCCCTCTCCCCTCCTCTCATTCCTCCCCTCCCCTCTCCCCTCCTCTCATTCCTCCCCTCCCCCTACCTACCCCACACTCCTCCCCACTCCCCCCTCACCTCCCCACTCCCCCTTCTCCTCCCCACACCCTCCCTCCCTCCTCACTCCCCATCAGCCCAGAGCCAAACAACCAGCCTTCTCCTTCTTTCCGACTCTACGACAGAGACTAAATCAGGGAAGACATCTCGAGATTGCAAGAGAGAATAATTAGTGAGAGGTGGAGAGCAGTGTTGACTGTCATGGTGCGTAATTGACCAAAACTTTTATCCCCAGAAAGAATCATCACTGGTGAAGGTGCGACAACTGAATCAGCTAATACTGACACAGGTAACGTTGACAGCTGTAACGTTGACAGCTGTAACGTTGATAGCTGTAACGTTGACAGCTGTAACGTTGATAGCTGTAACGCTGACAGGTGTAACGTTGACAGCTGTAACGTTGATAGCTGTAACGTTGACAGCTGTAACGCTGACAGGTGTAACGTTGACAGCTGTAACGTTGATAGCTGTAACGTTGACAGCTGTAACGCTGACAGGTGTAACGTTGACAGCTGTAACGTTGATAGCTGTAACGTTGACAGGTGTAACGTTGACAGCTGTAACGTTGATAGCTGTAACGTTGACAGGTGTAACGTTGACAGCTGTAACGTTGACAGCTGTAACGTTGACAGGTGTAACGTTGACAGCTGTAACGTTGACAGCTGTAACGTTGACAGGTGTAACGTTGACAGCTGTAACGTTGACAGCTGTAACGTTGATAGCTGTAACGTTGACAGCTGTAACGCTGACAGGTGTAACGTTGACAGCTGTAACGTTGACAGCTGTAACGCTGACAGGTGTAGCGTTGATAGCTGTAACGTTGACAGCTGTAACGTTGACAGGTTTCCTCTGAGGGCAGGCCGAAAGATATTGTATAGTCAGTTGTCACATATTCCGAAAGGTTCACATTAATCACTAAAGCTTGGTGAAGCAGAGAGTGCCTGCCTATGGAGAGATTCCCTCCGGCCTTTACCCCGTCAATTTTCACGGTCTACCTGTCGCAGGAGAGGTGCAGTGATCTATCACGTGGCTGTGTGGGGAGGAGGTGTAGCGATCTATCACGTGGCTGTGTGGGGAGGAGGTGTAGTGATCTATCACGTTGCTGTGTGGGGAGGAGGTGTTGCGATCTATCACGTTGCTGCGTGGGGAGGAGGTGTTGCGATCTATCACGTTGCTGCATGGGGAGGAGGTGTTGCGATCTATCACGTTGCTGCGTGGGGAGGAGGTGTAGCGATCTATCACGTTGCTGCGTGGGGAGGAGGTGTAGCGATCTATCACGTTGCTGCGTGGGGAGGTGTTGTGATCTATCACGTTGCTGCGTGGGGAGGAGGTGTAGCGATCTATCACGTTGCTGCGTGGGGAGGAGGTGTTGTGATCTATCACGTTGCTGCGTGGGGAGGAGGTGTAGCGATCTATCACGTTGCTGCATGGGGAGGAGGTGTTGCGATCTATCACGTTGCTGCGTGGGGAGGAGGTGTAGCGATCTATCACGTTGCTGCGTGGGGAGGAGGTGTTGTGATCTATCACGTTGTTGCATTGGGAGGAGGTGTAGCGATCTATCACGTTGCTGCGTGGGGAGGAGGTGTTGCGATCTATCACGTTGCTGCTTGAGGAGGTGCCGCCGTTATCAGCCTAAGGGCAGATTCACCAAGCAGTTACGCAAGCACTTACGAACCTGTACATTTTTTTTCAATCTTTTGCGGCTTTGTTTACAATTATTAAACAGTTAATGAGCTCCGAAGCACCAGGAGGCTGTTTATGACATTAACAACAGTTGATTGAGAAGTTTTTCATGCTTGTAAATTATTTAATAAATGTAACCAAAGCAGTCAAAGTTTGAGGAAAGATGTACACATTCGTAAGTACTTGCATAACTTCTTCCTGATTCTGGCCCCTGGTAACTGCTGTAGTCAAGCCGGGGAAAACGCCTCTCAGCGGCAGGTCCTAAAAACTGTTCACATTGAGTTTATTTGTATTGAATGATCTATGGCAAGCACCCCACACACAAAGTTTGCAACCTGGGCTTAATCACCAGGTTGCTTCTGCTTCTGCGGCATTGTTTACATCCATTAAACAGCTTACAAGCATCCAAACTTCCCACTCAGAAGTTGTTATTATTATTTAATAACTCCTGGTGCTTCTGAGCTCCTGGTCCACTACAGACCCAAACCTCATCGCTCCTTCATGTTCTGATGTATAACATGGTCAAAATGTTAACAAAGTCGCCAAAGATTGAGAAAAGATGTAGAGGTTTGTATAAATGCATAAAGTATTTGCATAAATGCTTGGTGAATCTGAACCCCGACGAAGATCCCCATCTTAAACACCTACCCAGAGATCACAGCCTTAACGTTACCATGGTAATTTTAGAGATGCTGAAATTGAAAAAGATGAGCAAAGCCTTTTTAAAATTAAAATATCTATCAACCGAGAGAGAAATGGACAGAGAGCAAGAGCAGAGAGACAGACATGCAAAGACATAGATAGACAGGGAAAGAGACAGAGGGAAGGAGACTCTCCAGTGAGTTCTGGAAATGTTCAGGACTTATCGAGGGACGGAGAGAGAGAGAGAGTATAAGACAGAAACCCTCCAAAATGTCCTGGACGTGTTCTGTCCCTCATTGAGAGAGAGAGAGACAGTCTTGACCCAGTCGTGGCCCTGAAGTTATCACGCCAAATAGGACGCTCGTGGATCGTTCAAAAAAGTGAAGATACACGGCCATAAGGTGAGGAGACACTCAGCAAGTAAGTACTTGCTGGAATGCTCAATGGAGCCCTGCCAGTGCCAGCTTTCACAGTTTACACAAAAACTCTGTGTGGATAATGGAACTTTTGGTGTGGCGTGCCACAGGGTGGTAACGTGACTAGGCCTAGTGTCCTGGCCAAGGAATCATGCACTGGTCTCAGGCCGGGTACGTGACTGCACCCCAGCTGCCCTACTCCTGAGAGTTGAGTTTCCCCATGTGGCATTTTGAAGATAGAGGGTGGGGACTGTCCTCACCCCGCAATACTGGCCTAAAGCGGACGCCTTGCAGAGCTTTGCTGATATGGACAACGTCAGTGCCAGGCTATATATACACCAGACTATTAAGTGTGTAAGAGTGAATTACGTATCAGAGTGACACTGGAAAGTCATCAGTCAGATACCATAGGTGGCACGCTTGCTGCTAAATACACACCACAGTGCTGTCAAGTGTATCTGCAGTTTAAACCCACCTCTCTACCTGCTATTTAGCGCTACGGTACGTTGTGTGTGTGTGTTTTTAGTGTTATCGTTTATTACAACACACCTCAGAAGGTGTGTTGTGCATACTGAGGTGTTACAAACGTGACAAGGAATATACATTTGGCAAGAAATCTCAGCTCGGACTGTGTGACCTTGAAAACAGGCGCACTTATGTGGAGCAGAGAGGCCTGGCTACTTGTACTCAGCCTCTTAGAAGAGGTTCTATTAGAATCCTCTTAGCAGATTCAGAGGCATGGCGACTGTTGCCATAGAGATGGCATGTAATGCCTCAATGGACTCACACCAAAGTGCTAGTACATCATTTGGTGCACAAGAGGAAGATACGACCATGGTATCTCTCACATTGGAGTCACATAGTGGTCATGTATTAGCCCAATTGTGACGGAAATCCTAACAATTGGACAAGTGTTGGGACCCAGAAAAGTCACATGGAACCAACTATTCAATAAATCATACTCATGTGAGGGGGAAAAAGTCAACCATTATCCCCCCCCCCCCCCCCCGGACACAGAAACTGCAACGAAATATGCATGGTTAGCTGCGGCAGCCACAAAACAACTTGGTGGTTGATATTTGTTGGCAACAGGACATGTAAACCATGTCTGTGTGGACATTACGGAAGAGATGGTACAATATTTCTGTACGACTGAGCTTGATGGTATAAAAATGAGAAAACCACCACCGCCTGCGCATACCCACAAGACACCTGTTATCATTTTTGGGCAGGACTTTTACCAGGATCACAAACTGGTAGAACAGCATAAACACATCATCAATGCGAAAAGAACAACTGGCAGAGAGAGACTATTCTCACCCATTGGACCAGCGACAAGGCTCCACCGGACAAATTTACTGTCCCAAGTGCTTATCAGCAACTTACAAGGAAGGTTTACAACCCTCCCAGGCTCAGGTGTTACAAGTGCCAACGGTGGAATCACGTTGCACGAAACTGATGTAATGATGAGCGGTGTGGCCTCTGTGCCAGAGAGCATGCAACATCTGTATGTAATAATAAGAAGGCAAAGGGTGAAACAATGAAAATGAGGTGTGCCATCTGACATCTGGACGGTGTCCCGCGCCTGGCATGAGGACTGTGCCGCACTCCCGGCGAGACTGGCTGCCCGGGGTATACCAGCAGGGGGCGTGAGTAACCACTCTGGCTTATCTGCTGGACCAGTCACTCCTCCACACTTTCCTACTTTACCCAACCAATCCAACGCAACAGCCGGTAGCTCGAGTGACACAGTTGCAGTGTCTACCACTACATGTTGGTCGAGGGACCTGGACCAGGCACAGAAAATTTATGAGCTTATGAATACAGTAGAGAGACAAAGAAAATTATGGAAAAGCTGAGCATGCAAATTACTGAACAAAGCAAGGAAATCTTCCACCAAAAGACGATGATAATCACTCTTCAGGAATCTGTGAGAGTGTTAAATGGATGCAGGTCACACCAACCTGGAGTACCACCATGTGCTCCCAGGCGGCCAGCATCCCTGTGGGCATCCCGGCTGAGGGTACCCCGCCCTCACACCAACTGGGTACACCCACCACGGCTCCTCACACTCCAGCCACAGTGTGCGGTATGAACAGAGGGGAACTATTCAATGTGGAAAAGTAAAGTGCTGTAGATGCATATAACAATGCAACTGATCATGATAATGAACTAAATGCCAATGAGAGTGAGAATTGTAATGAAGATGTTGGAGACTATGAAGTGAATACAGGTGCTGATAAAATCTATTCGAAGGGAAATAGTAGTGAAGATAATGATGAAAGTGATTGTGATAAAGACGAAATCGCAACCAGGGACGCTTGTAGTTGAAGGAGTAACGTCCAGTTCCACTCCTTGTAATGAAGGAGTGGAGGTGGACGTGGATGTCCGCCACGGGCCGCACACGTCACATCCCAGGTGGTTCAGCCGTAAAGGGATTAGACATCTGATGATAGAAGATAAATTTACCAATGGGGGTAAAAAAAACACCGTAATAATACACCACAAACAGTGTCGGGATATTATTAATTTCATGAAACTGCAAACTGATAAAGTTAAAACAAGGAACAATGGCTTCCACTCAATCTTATAAAACAAGTACAGTGTCATCAAGATTCTCAGTTAGAATATTGCTTCTCTTAGAAAACGGTATTCAGACTCCCATCATAAGGTTATGACTGAAGACATAGATACTGTCTGACTCCAAGAAACCCTAACTCCTGCAGGTAAAACCCCGCAGAATTTGCCTAGTTATCAGTGTTATAATCCCAGATCAAAAAACTACATGTCTCGTGTATGTTTAAAAATCACTGCCATATTTAATTTGTATTTATTTATTTAAAAATACCTTAATTGAAACGAGACTCAACGGCCCAGCAGGACAACAGGGCGCATTTCCATCACTGCCACATGAGCCACTTCCCGCTCAACAACCAGAGAGTTTCCAATGTCATGGTATCCGGGTACACTTTGGTAACTCTACACTAAATGTTTTAAATGCCTATGCACCTACTGGCTTACTCCAATATACAGACTTACCTAATTTTGCACATAAATTTTTGCACCCTACAATCTTAATTGGGGATTTATATGCTAAACACAAACAATTAGGGGGATCAACTCACGAACACAAAAGGTAGGAGATTGTTGGCATTTCTCGATGCATATGATGATGTTCAAGTTATCAGTAAGAATCAGCCAACTCAAATATATGGAAGAGTGCTCGATAGGTGCATTGGCTTTAACCTGTCATACACAACTCACGAGACTGATATTATGGATGACTTAATGTCTGACCATTTAGCCATAACAGCTAACATACACGTGACTAATGTTGGCCTATCTGGCACTACGCTGAGTAGACACAGACTAACAGTAAGGAAAGAGCAAGAAAAATTATTTATGTATGGAGCATTGGTATAACAATTATGAGCCTGAGACTGTAAAACAGTTTTATGATGACATCACGAATAAAACCTGAGGACATAAAAAATAGTGACTTCAACCAATTTCCTCCAAAATTTGAATCTTTACAGATAGGCATACGTTCTGTACGGTGTATAAGTTTCATGCAAATTGGCTGATAAAAACCATGAAAAAAATTGAGAAAAATCTATTATTTTTTTAGCATACAACTGAATATTAAAAGACTTTATTATATGATATTGTGATAGCTAAGAATCATAGACATGATTTCAGTTGACACTTTTGTTTGATGGTAATTTTTGACCATTTTGGAAGTTTTTTGACACATAATTAACATTTTCTTTCTTCCTATTTATGCTACAATGCTGAGAGTTGGACCAGTTGAACCAAATTTTATATACAACTAGTCAAAAAAGTTTGATTGAAGTCGAATCATTTTTCATTTATCGCATTTTTCCATAATATGCCCCCTTAAATTGTATACATACAGCTTGTGAGAGCCTTGGTCTTGTAATCAACGCTGCTAAAACTAAGGTATTTAACAGACAAATTGATAATCGCAAAAGTGGACCAATGAAACTTTAGATAATGTACCAATTGACTATGTCTCTTCTTTCAAATACCTTGGTGTCTCTGTTCCTTGAACCTTAACTGCAGTCAATAAGTTACATCAACAATGTAGATACAGACTCAAGGCTCTCAGAACTGTAGTGAAGCACAGCCCTAAATACGGTGATAATATTAGAACAACAAAAATTATGTACTTAGCATATATAAGGTCTCTGATAGACTATCATGCACCAGCTTTAGTCCAGCAAAATGGCAAAAGTTTTGATAGACTGGAAAAAAATGCAAAATGACGCACTCAGAATTATACATGGCTGTCCTATAACTACCACAGTTCTCAACATGCGAAAAGAATTAAATATACCTAGCAGTCAGGATAAAATATTTGAAATCAATCTTATGATGGGACTAAAGCTTCTGCGTGATAACAAAAGCAACATTGTTGACAATCGACTTGAGAATGGTCCAGGACGGACCGAAACGTCGTCGTCCCTTCACTTTCTAATGTGTGGTCTGGTCAACATACTTTAGCCACGTTATTGTGACTCATCGCCTGCATTGTGTTAGTTGAACTGTTAGAACACATAGGAAATGGAACCAGCAAGTCTAAATGGATTCAAAGAACAGCCACTCATATTAAAATGATGGTACTCCACGATGTATATACAGATGAAAGAGTACAGCGCTTCCTTCCACCCTGGCAGAGAGTATCTTTTGACATCCTGACCCCTGCATACCCCACCAAGAAACTTATCACAAACAACCCTCATGCTCAGATTGCTGCTAAATTAAGCACCATAGAACACATTCACAATATACAAACTAAAAGCAACATAGCACAAACCATATATAATGACGGATCACTTAATACAGCTACAGGAAGGGCAGGAAGTGCTGTTATTGTACATAAGTCCGAAGTCAGCATAATTCAATGGAATATAAGAATTAGTAACTGGGCATCCACAATGCAAGCTGAGTTGGTAGCAATACTGGTTGCTCTCGAAATTATTGACAACACTGAAGTAGATAACTTAATTATCGCCGACTCCCTTTCCTCACTACTATCAATAAACAGTTTGCAATCAAGTAATAACGTGCTTATCTCAGAGGCCAGACATTGATATATAAGCATACTTAACAAGGGGGTTATTATGAAAATGTTGTATCCTCCTTCCCACATTGGCCTGCAGCAGCTCCATCAACTCCTCAACATACAACCACGGTGGTGTGTCCTGAGGGACGCTGTCAGCTCTCCCCTCACAACCTGGTCTCCCCGGGGCCCGCTGTTATCTCTCCCCTAAGCACCTTGAGGTGCTTCTTGAGATGATTTCGGGGCTTTAGTGTCCCCGCGGTCGAGGACCGAGGCCTCCACCCCCAGGAAGCAGCCCGTGACAGCTGACTAACACCCAGGTACCTATTTTACTGCTAGGTAACAGATGCATAGGGGTGAAAGAAACTCAGCCCATTGTTTCTCGCCGGTGCCTGGGATCGAACCCAGTATCACAGGATCACAAGTGCAGCGTGCTGTCCGCTCGGCCGACTGGCTCCCCGGCTAGGAACATAATAAAGTTGACGCCACTGCAAGGCTGCAGTAAATAAAAACTGTATTGAACGGAATCTTTAAAATATCAAATAGGTCCTTTAAAAGTGTCATTAGACGAGAATTCTTGGATGAATTTGAAGAAAGCAGAACAGTGCAAACTGGAACTAACAGGTCCATTGTTTATCACATTGAAATTTGTCAAGTTCTACGGTTGCCATTGTCAAGTTGCCGGAAGTTCTACTGACTTTGCTCGAATCCGAGTAAGGTCAGTAGAACTTCCCGTTGCAATTCTTTTGGCCATGTTGTGGTGCAATCGACTAAGGCAGCGTCTGCGATCATCCCGGGCGTAAGTTCGAATCCTCATCATGGCCCTTGTGGATATGTACACTTATACAGGTCTCTAGTCCAGCCGCATCTAGAGCATCCTCCAGTACCACTTCAAAACTAACTTGCTACAACTATAAGCAGTGCAAAATAAGGCTCTAATAAGAGCAGCAAAACACCGTCCACCATATAACCAGAGAGTCCAGCAGCTCCATCAACTCCTCGACATACAACCACGGTGGTGTGTCCTGGGGGCCGCTGTTATCTCTCCCCTAACTACCTGGACCTAGATTCAAGAAGCTCCATATATTTCTTCGTAAGTATGTGTGCTACGAAGGTTCCTAAGTACCGGCTAAGAATGTGTCAAAGGGCGATTCAGAAAAGTATACTTACGAAGATTTATAAGTAGTTCACTTAGGTCTCGCTAGATGTCATTAGGGCTTTTAGTTTGACCAATCAGAGAGAAGGTAACATTTTTCAGCTTACAGCTGTAGCAAATCACGACGCTGGCATATCGGAGCTTATCCGTGATGCACTTGCCACTTATTTACGTCGAATTTTCTTATAAAATTAGTATATTTCGAAGTAAAACTATGTTTTTTTCAACTTGTACAGTCAGCATCGACATTGTAGTAAACAAATATGTTACATTTTTTGTTTACCTACGTAATTCTAAGAGATAGTGTATAGCTCCCCTTGTTGCTCCCAAGATTTGAGAAGAGATGGTATTTATTTACATATATATTTACCTTATTCACCCAAGGGCCACTAACTATCTAGTGGCCTCGGCGAGAACAAAAAGCCGGGGGCTTGTTAAGTTCCACCAATTGTCCTAATGATATTTTCTAGGTGGATTTTGGCATTTACGGATCAGCGGGTAAGCGGTTCGATAGGTTTATAACCCTCTGGGTGAAAAAAAACATCTGTTTTTAGTCCAACTTGAGAGGACATACTCTCCAACACTATATGTGTGATTGCCCTGTTATCAGTGACTTCATACCAAATGGTATGTGTCGGAAAATCCGACACCATTTAATAATCATACAGATAATAGCTGTGTTGTATAAACAAGTTAACCATAGAAAACGTAACTTGTAGTGGAATTACCGTCTAAAGAAAACGGGATATCATCACCACATACTATTATAATTC